AGACCAGCCTGAGCAAGAGCGAGACCCCGTCTCTACTAAAAATAGAAAGAAATTAATCGGACAACTAAAAATATATAGAAAAAATTAGCCGGGCATGAAGGCGCATGCCTGTAGTCCCAGCTACTCGGGAGGCTGAGGCAGGAGGATCGCTTGAGACCAGGAGTTGGAGGTCGCTGTGAGCGAGGCTGACGCCACGGCACTCTAGCCCGGGCGACAGAGCCAGACTCTGCCTCCAAAAAAAAAGCTCCAAACGGCTCCTTGTACATCACTCCCACACATGATGCACACATGCACACGCAAGCACACGTGTCGACACATGCAAACACGTATGGTCACACGGGACAGACATAACAAAGAAAGCAAGACACAGACACACATGCGTGTCCACGCACACGTGCACACACGTACCCAAGGCCCGCTTGCAAGGCCCCAGTCTACACACTCCTCACACACACATGGCAGCAACCACGGCGACACAGAACATCTTGAGGACAGACGTCCCCAACTGGGGCTGGAGTCGCCGCAGCCTAAGCACGTGAGCTCTGGGCAGGCGGCCGGCGTTTCCGGAAAAGGTGTCCTCCTGACCCCCGAGGGTGATTTGCAGGCGTCCCTCCGGCGCCCAAAGGCTGGGCTGCCCCGGGCCCAGCCTCTACCCCGTGCAGGCTGGCGTCCCCGCTGCGTGGTCCTCTCTGGCTCCCACACACAACTCCCGGTGGCCGGGGAGGAAGCACGGGCCCGGCCCACGTGCCCAAAGACATCTGTGGACGCAGCTGGTCCCCCTGGTTGCAGAAGCAGCGTTTTCAGGGTACGATTTCCCTAATCCCGCCCGCTGGGTTCCAACCCCGTCTACAAAGCCGCGTGACGCCGGCCGAGTCCCTGGCTGGTCCGAGCCGCCGTGTCCTCGGGTTTCGCGTGGCCGCGACGACGGTGGTACTTACCCTGGGGGTGCCGCGGGCCCGGAGCCCCGAGTTCCAGCATGCCCGGCTGTCGTCGTTAACGCGACTGCCCTGGCACCGTGGTCGGCCCCTCCCCCCTCATCCGACCGCGTCGGGGACCCGGCGGGCAGCGCCAGCCTTACCTGGTCGTCACGCGACCGGAGGCCGGTCGGCGTCCAGGCTCCGAGCCCAGGAGGGACAAGGAAGCCCCCCCTGGGCGCGGCCGCGTGCCAGCTCTGGTGCTGCCCTCTGCCCGCCCCGCTCGCTCTCCCCTGGCTACGCAGCCTCCTCTGGCGGAGGAGAAAACGGCCTCGCGGCCCCGGGGCCCGTCGCCGCCATACTGACCTCCAGCCGCAGCCCGGCCAGGTGCAGGCGAAGGGCTTCTCGCCCGTGTGCCGGCGCAGGTGGGCCTTGAGGTGGCTGCTCTTGGTGTACATCTTGCTGCAGCCGGGAAAAGTGCATTTGTGCATTTTGATGAGTTCCGGCGCCGGGTTCTTGGGGAACTTCTGGCCCACGAGGAGGCCGGCGGGGCCGGGCCCCAGGGCTCCCGACCCGACGGGCTTGGCGGCGATGGGCACGGGGGCGATACGCACAAACTTGGAGGACAGGCTGGAGCTGCAGGAGGGCGCCACCTGCGGCACCAGTGCAAAGGTCTGGCCCTGGATGCTGACCAGGAGCTGGGCGACCTTGACATTCTCGGAGGCCTGCCCGGGGGAGGCGGGCCCTGAGCCGGATTCCTGCTTCACGGGCACGGGCTGGATCTGCAGCAGCACCGGGACGGGGCCCCCGCTCGGGCCCTGGGCGCCGGCGCCACCCGGCGGAGAGGCGCGGCACTCTCTTGCCCGGTGTGGCCCGGCCAGGAGCTGGCCGCAGGCCTCCGAGTCCTTGCCGGCGTCCTCAAGGGTTTCCTTGACTTCCGGCTCCATGTTCTCCTCCAGGAACTCTTCGATCTCCTCCAGGGTGGGCTGGAAGGGCCTCGGGACGTCATCGGGGTCGCCCAGGGGACACTTGGGGAAGTAGAAATGCTCCCCCTTTGCGGTCGTGGGCGCCCTTCGCCAGGGACCCCAGGCCTCGCCGCCGGCACCGTTCAGGGTGGCCTGGGACAGCAGGAAGTCCAAGATGCTGTCCTGGCCTTCGGCACCTGGGCCTCCGCCGTAGCAGGAGCAGAGGGCTTGAGAGTCGGGGCTGGCACAGGAGCAGGGGCTGGAAGCATCGCTGTCGTCTTCGGAGAGGGGCGAAGGCAGCACGTGGTATTCCCGCCGGCCAGCCAGGTAACCGACGGCGCACTTCGGCGGCGAGAAGTTCTCGTCCACTGGAAGCATGTGGTCCACCATGCTGGCCGGGCCGTGCCGGCGGCGGCTGCAGAGAGAGAGAGGACAAGGGAGGCCCGGGTCAGGAGGATGACGCCACCACCTCTGGGCCACCAGCAGCCTGCCGGCCACCTCCTCCCATTGCCAAATGCCCGGGTCCTGCCTGCCCGTCCCCTCCGGAGAGCTGTGCCTGCAAGCGTGCTCTGAAATTGCACCAGCTGTTTGCAAAACAGCCCTCTCCAAAACCATTGCACAACCTGGGGCACTTCTGGTTGCAAACAGATTTTCCAGAATCATCTTGGAAAAGAACACGCGTCTGTGGCTGACCGCGGGTGTGTCGGGAGAAGGGTGCGTGAGGAGGCTCTCCAGACCCCGGCAGGGCTGAGGTCCGGGACCCTCCCGCCACCAACACAGAGAGTCACCGTGTGACCCAGGACACCGGACCCCAGCTTCAAGCCTGCCGAGTCCCAGAACGGGGGGTAGGAGATTGGCTGTTTGCCCTCTGACCTCCACGGTGTTGGGGCTTCCGTAGGGTTGCACAAATAAAAAAATACAGGCTTCGGCCGGGCACGGTGGCTCACGCCTGTGATCCCAGCCCTCTGGGAGGCCGAGGAGGGAGGATTGCTCGAGGTCAGGAGTTTGAGACCAGCCTGAGCAAGAGCGAGACCCCCGTCTCTACTAAAAATAGAAAGAAATTATCCGCACTGCTAAAAACATACGTATAGAAAAAATTAGCCGGGCATGGTGGCGCATGCCTGTAGTCCCAGCTACTCGGGAGGCTGAGGCAGGAGGATCGCTTGAGCCCGGGAGTTGGAGGTTGCTGTGAGCGAGGCTGGCGCCACGGCACTCTAGCCCGGGCAACACAGTGAAGCTCTGTCTCAAAAAAAAAAAAAAAAAAATTGTTGGATCTGAGATTCAAATTTAACCGGGCTGGCTGTATTCAAATCTGGTGACTGTAGTTTGGAGGCCAGAAAATTAAAGACCAGGTAAGAGGCTGCCCTTGCGGGCTCTGTTTCCCCACCTGAGGGGAACGGAGGGCGCAAAGCGAGAGCTGTCTGCTCTCGGACCCCTCTGCACCTCCCACGGCCTCCGTGGATGGGACAGGCTTGAACGAAGCACTCTCGCCCGGTGGACAAGGCCCCGCCCTCTGGGGACCATTCTCAGGTAAAGACACCCACCAGACGTCCAGGGCACCCGGCAGCTCACGAGGCCGCTGTTCTCCCATCTGGGACACTCGCCACCCTAGGCAGCCTCAGCTAATGCCTGTCTCTCCATGTCTGTGTCCCCAGCACCTGGTGCCCAGGAGGGGTTCAGAGAACTGTGACACAGAGGAGAGGGGAAAGCTTCGTCCTCTAAAGCCAAAGGACATGCTGGGTCCAGTGTCCAAGGAGAGTCAACAGTGGCCGGCTATCACAGGGCCACCTCTGTGGACCTTTGTCCCCACCCGGGGACCACAGCGGGCTGGGTGTTTATCGAGGCTGGGGAAGGGAACATTCTGAGTCTGAAGCCAGAGGTTCTCCGCCGACTGGCATCGGGCCCCCTCTGCACCCAGCCCCCTTCTGTGTCCCGGACCACCTCATGGCCTGGTGCTCAGCACTGCCCAACAGTCGACAGGCCGGCGTTGTCATACGCTGTGACCCCTGGGCAAGTCTTTGCTCCCCCCCGACCGCGGTTTCCCCATCTGTTTCGGGCTTCCATGATTTCTAAGTCTCTCTCCTGCTTAGGGACCCCAGGCCCTTTGACCTGAGCTCCTGACTCATCCCAGGAAGCTTCCTGGAGCTCCAGGAAGCCAAGGCAGGGTCTGTGCGCCAGGCTGGTTTTGCCAGGGGGACATTTGCCTTTCTGGGTTAAATACTCAGCGGAAGGTTTAAAACCGGGAGTGCGGGCCGGGTATGGTGGCTCACGCCTGTGATCCTAGCACTCTGGGAGGCTGAGGCGGGAGGATCGTTTGAGACCAGGCTGGGCAACATAGCAAGACCCTAATTCTACAAAAAATGGGCCAGGAGTGTTGGCTCATGCCTGTGATCCCAGCACTCTGGGAGGCCGAGGTGGGAGGATCGTTTCAGCTCAGGAGTTCAAGACCAGCCTGAGCAAGAGCGAG